TCCAGCATGTGGGACCCCAGATTCTGAAAGACACACTTATTCTTAGTTCTCCTTCTAGGGCCTATGGTTTTAGAAAACCATGTTTGCATCTGTCTTGGATGACAGAATCCATCCCCATTGATTCCTACTTCTTCGAGGTTGGTTTGAAACTGTACTGTGTATTTTAAGGGTGAAGATGCATGGAGCAAGAGGAGTTATGACTTATTTTTAACCAATCCTTAAGATGGAAGTCATCAAAATCTGCCTATTAAATGGAGGAATACTTTCACACCACTTGTCTCAGCATCAACCTGATAAGAATGGTTCTGGAAATTATCTCAAGATATCCAACCCATGACTGAATGCTTAGGGAAAAGATAAGAAATATGCATGGTAATAAACTCAGAGACTATAAGCAATAGAAGAAACAGATTCCTGACTAAATTTAGCAAGCTATTATGAGTAAACTGTTCCTCAGTCATCACACTCTATACTATAGGGATTTTGATGGTATAATTTGAAGGCAATGCAATTTATGTCTTCCTTCTTGAAAAAATGAAATGTCTTGTTCGTCATTACTGTGAAAGTGGCTACTCAGGGGGGTTAAATGCATAAATAAAACCCAGTTTCTGGACGTCTAATTATTCCTCACCAGAGTTGGTTACAGAGAGGATTTCCAAAAGGAGAAGTAATAAAAAACATTTTAAAAGCTTCTTCTTAATGATCATCACATTATAATCTATAATATGTATCATTGGACTAAATAGAATTTAGCCATTTATTTTGATTTATATCAGATTATAATTTCAATGGCTTTCTGATGCAAAATTCCCATTTTATATTAAAAACGTGGCAATACATTTTGGAAAGACAAATCCGTATAATTACTGTTTTATGGGGGAGGAGGGTGTGGGGAGGGAACCACTTTCATTTTAACTGGAGAGCTTTACTTTTTCCTCCCATCCCAGGAACTTGGCTATTGTGGTCTCTTTTGTGTTTCAGATCGCTGGACTCCAACATTTGAGAACTTTCAAGTAACTCAAAGAAAGCAATGATCAACAATTTCTCGCAGACTGAAGCTGTGGAGCTCTGTTATGAGAACGTGAATGGGTCCTGCATTAAAACCCATTACTCGCCTGGGCCTCGGGCAATTCTCTATGCAGTCCTGGGATTTGGGGCTGTGCTGGCAGTGTTTGGAAACTTACTGGTCATTATTGCCATCCTTCACTTCAAGCAACTGCACACGCCGACCAACTTTCTGATTGCGTCCCTGGCCTGCGCTGACTTCTTGGTGGGAGTGACCGTGATGCCCTTCAGCACAGTGAGGTCTGTGGAGAGCTGCTGGTACTTCGGGGAGAGTTATTGTAAATTTCATACTTGCTTCGACACCTCCTTTTGCTTTGCGTCTTTATTTCATTTATGCTGTATCTCTATTGATAGATATATTGCTGTTACTGATCCACTGACCTATCCAACCAAGTTTACTGTATCAGTTTCAGGAATATGTATTGTCCTCTCTTGGTTCTTCTCTGTAACATATAGTTTTTCTATATTTTACACTGGGGCCAATGAAGAAGGTATCGAAGAATTAGTCGTCGCTCTCACTTGTATAGGGGGCTGTCAGGCACCATTGAATCAAAATTGGGTCCTGCTCTGTTTCCTTCTATTCTTTGTACCCACTGTTGCGATGGTCTTTATATATGGTAAGATATTCTTGGTGGCAAAGTATCAGGCTAGGAAGATAGAAAGCACCGCCAGCCAAGGGCAGTCTTCCTCAGAGAGTTACAAGGAAAGGGTGGCAAAGAGAGAGAGGAAGGCTGCTAAGACGTTGGGAATTGCCATGGCAGCGTTCCTTGTTTCTTGGCTCCCCTACATTATCGATGCCGTGATTGATGCTTATCTGAATTTCATAACTCCACCCTACGTTTATGAGATTTTAGTGTGGTGTGTCTACTATAACTCGGCAATGAACCCCTTGATATACGCTTTCTTTTACCCATGGTTTCGGAAGGCAATCAAACTTATTGTAAGTGGAAAAGTGTTAAGGAGTGACTCATCCACAATTAATTTGTTCACTGAGGACGCAGGTACAGATTGAAAGGGCTATCGCAGGGTCTTCAAAGTTACTGTGGAATTAAGATCAAGGGCAAAAATAAACCCTTATGTCTAGAGAGGTAAATAGATGGTAATTCTTTTCCAAGTAGGTGGATAAATATGTATTATCCTCAATATTTAGTGGTTTAAAGGCACTTGGTAGATAGATAGATAGATAGATAGATAGATAGATAGATAGATAGATAGATATAAGATTTGCTATTTAGTACTGTTTCACATTTTTTTCTAATTCTACACCTTCTCTGAAATGTCTTTGTTTCTTCCAATAATTTGGAGTTGCATCATTTTCTTCCAAGTTCAGTATCAGTGTTGATTTGTTCATAGTATTTGGGGTTGGGGGAAACTCCTGAATAATTCAAATATTAGATTTCTAGAGAGCACTAAAAGTCATTTAATATTCCTGGCTTGGGTAGAAAATATTCTTTTACAAATGCTGGAGTATTTTTTGTTTTTTTGTTTTTAATCTAAAATGACTTTATTGAGAACTACAGTGCAGAATTTAACCATGATTGAAAATAGTTGGCTAAGCACTGGAGTGTATGTCTTCATTCACCCCGGTAATTTTCCCTTTCCATTGGGCAGAGACTGTGTTTACAAGAATACATTTTGGGAGTACGTGATGTTCAGGACAACTTGTTTCTTTTGTATCTGAGTTACCTCAGCTCTTAGGATGGTGATTTCACAAGTACATTTTACTTTTGTTAAACAAGCCATTGCTCTACAAAAGTGATGTGGCCAAAAACAGTTCATGTGCTCATTTTGCAGTCATTTGAAATATATAATTTTATAAAATTCTAATAATAAATTTAAAATAATTTTTTTGAGTTCTTACTTTTACTAGAAACTGTATCAAATTGTGCAATCCAAATATAACCAAAGATTGTGTTAACATAGAAAGTGATCAAATTGGCACAATATACTCTAGGAGAACCTTCAGCTTTCTAATCTGATATTATGTATTTTTATAATTAACATGAATCTCAATTCATTTTAATTAAAATATATTAGGGGAGCTTCAAAAAGTTTGTGGGATGTGGAAGGGACAGATAAGGGAATTTTTCCATGTACTTTTTATAGCTCTTTCATACTTACTTAATGGTTCAAGATACAGGAAAAGGCTTAAGATAGCTAATAAAAAGTTGATCTACCTTCTCAAATATTTGAATCCTGCCTTAGATCTTCATTTATATCGCTGATTTTCACAGACTATTTTATATATAAAATTTGTTTTATGTAGAAGTAAACCTAAGGAGTAGAAGTACATAGAGCAACATAAAGATTGTATACTTTACAAATTAACCATATTGGAAGTACCTTGTACAAGACTCAGCTATTCTATATTTTTGCATTAATGTCTGTCAAATAGAACTGAGAGGATGAAAGAGAATGAAAGGAGAATTTGTGCCAGAGAAATCCTCATGTGAGAATTGAGATTCAGACCAGGATGCCAAGGTTTACTGACCACCTTGCAAGTCAGCACAATCTGGTCCATCATTCTTATTCTTTAAGAAGTAGACCCCATTAGAAAGAAATTGATTTGGAAATGTTGGTGGCAACATAAGTACAAATGTGCTTAATACCACTGAATTATGGATTGTTATAAGATTTTTAAAAGCCCCAGCAATAAAATGATTAAAAACAAGTAAATAAATAAAGTTTTAAAAGCAGCTCAAAGGCTGTATCCACTTGATAGTGAACCAGTAATATTGTTTTCATAGCAATCTGTGTTCCTTTCCTCAACTGCATATAAACTGTCATTGACACTTGTGAGCAATAAAGAAAATAATTTGAAGTAATTGAAAAATATATATACTCTCACTATTCTGATCAGCCATACTCTGCAGAGTGTAATCTCTAAATGGATTGATGGCAGGAATACGTTCCAGTGATGTGTTCAAGGTTTTATTATTCATGGGTGAGCCCTGCCTACAGAAATTCTGTTGATGAAAAAGTACCTAATTCTTTTTCTCCGAAACTAACCAGAGCATTAGCCTAACGTTACCTTCCTTCCCTACACCTCGTCCGTGTATCTAAGTCAGTTATGCCAGCTGCAGAGAGCGCGATATTTGGAACAGACACACCATGGAGGAAATGCTTCACCCACCAGACCCTGTCTGCCAAATAAAGCGTGACCTTGCAGCCTGCTGCTGAGCTTCATCTTGCACTTCTGGTAAACTTTGGTGTTCCGATAGCTGCGTCAGTCACTGGGAGGCGGCAAAGCTTCTGCAAAGGAGGCGTTAATCCATTTATGCCCGGGTTTATGTTATATAAACATTATGTCTCTCAGATATATGAATTATTATTATAAATACATGTGCATCTTTTGATTAATAAAACATTAATTAACCGAAAAGAATGACTTTATTTGCAGTACCTTACTACAGATAGAGGTATAAACATAGGTTTGCACTCATGTAAATATATTAATTCATAAAAATAGAGGTATTGCCCTAGCTACATATATTTATATGGCAATACATTGAGGAAGTGGACAGACTTTGGGCCTCTGCTCAAGCTCTCCCTCAACAACCTGGCATTCTGTGATGCTCACCCTCCCGACACAATTGCTGAAGACTAAATGAGTGCATAAGCAAATGTGGTGAAGAAAGCTGATGGTGGCCAGCTATCAAAAGATGTAGCATCTGGGGTCTTAAAGGCTTGAAGTTAAACAAGTGGCCCTCTAGCAGAAAAGCAACAAGCCCACATGGAATAAGGACACCAGCCTGTGTGATCATGGGGTATTGATGGAATCAGGTAAGAGGGACCAGAAGACATGAAGCAAAACAAAACAAAAGGTTTAGAATTAGGGGGGGGGTGTCAGAACAGAGACCCCCAAACCCATCTGTAGACAGTAGGACATCCTATTGAGTCAACCAAGGTGCAGAATAGCACTGATGAAACACACAATATTCCTCTGGTTCTTTGAGGCTTCCTCATCCCCTCATTATCAGGAACCCAGACCTGCTTTTCAGTTCTGGCTAGACCAGAGCATGTACACTGATACAGATAAGAGCTCACAACACACAGAATCCAGGCCAGATAAAGCCCCCAGGAACAGAAATGTGATTAATTATATGAGGAGGTTAGTGGGAAAGGGGTTGTGGGGATAGGAAGGGGGAACCTATCACAATGATTGGATGCAAATCCCACCCCACCCCCAGGGGGATGAGCAACAGAAACATGGGTGAAGGGAGACAGCAGTCAGTGTAAGATATGAAAGCAATAATCATTTTATAATTTATCGAGGGAGAGGGGAGGGAGGGGGAAAAGAGGAGCTGATACCAAAGGCTGAAATAGAAAGTAAATATTTAGAAAATGCTGATGGCAACATATGTACACATATGCTTGATACAACAGCTGTATGTAATGTTATAAAAGCTGTAAGAGCCCCCAATAAAATGACTTTTAAAAAAAGAAAAGAAAAAAAGTAAATCCTTCATAGATAAGTACTAACATTCTATCTTTTTAAGAATATGAATCAGAAGAAATCCAAATATACAAATGAAAGGTTATTCAGAGCTACATAAATGAAAAGAAGATTTACACAAACTTTTTATATTTGGTGTCCAATATCTAGGTTCTTATCATTTACAAGTTGTTTTTCTTATTGATAATATTAAAAAAAAATTTTAATGTGGAGATCATCTCTGAAGAAGTTATATGGCTTGCCCAAGTAAACACATACACTAAATGCTTGAATATTTAAGCCCCTGTTTATCTGTCTGTCTGTTTCTAAAGACCGTGCTAACTAAATGTAATAAAGTATGAAGGAACTGGTCAGTGAAACCAGAAACATTTCTCAGAAAGGAAAAGTCATAAGACAATTATCGCAAACAGGCAGCCATCTCGCTGAGAAGCAACAAAATCCACATGGAAGAAGCACACTGGCCTGTGTGATCATGATGTGTTGATAGGATCAGGTATCAGGCATCAAAGAACAAAATATCATATCATTGTGAATGAGAAGGAGTGCGGAGTGCAGACCCAAAGCCTATCTGTAGGCAACAGGACATCCCTTACTGAAGGGTTGCAGGGAGGAGACGAGCCAGTCAGGGTGCCATATAACATCAATGAAACATACAATTTTCCTCTAGCTTTTTAATGCTTCCTCCCCACCCACCCCTCCTCCCCCACTATAATGATCCCAATTCTAGCTTACAAATCTGGCTAGACCAGAGCATATACACTACTACAGATAAGAGCTGGAAACACAGGAAATCCAGGACAGATAAAACCCTCAGGACCAATAATGAGAGTAGCGATACCAGGAGGGTAAGGGAAAGGTGGGGGGAGAAAGAAGGAACCAATCACAATGACCTAAATATAACCCTGGGGGACAGACAACAGAAAAGAGGGGAAGGGAGACATTGGTCAGTGTAAGATATGAAAAAATAATAATAGTTCATAAATTATCAAGGGTTCATGAGGGAAGGAAGGTGGGGGAAGGAGGGGTAAAATGAGGAGCTGAGATCGCAAGGGCTGAAGTAGAAAGAAAATGTTTTAAGAATGATGATGGCAACAAATGTACAAATGTGCTTCACAAAATGGATGTATGTATGGATTGTAATAAGAGTTGTATGAGCCCCCAATAAAATGATTTAAGATAAAAAAGACTATTATCACAGGCATTACATAAAACCTGACACTTTTATTGTATTCTCTGTAAACATACACACACAGTGAGTGTTGTAAAGAGACTTGCTGAAATATGTGTAATGCAAAAGGATAGTTTTGTTTTGTTTTTAACCTTATTTTTTCCTAATTACAATGCTAAACCAAGAAGTACAGACAATTATTCCTAAGAAAAGAATAGATCAGGTCCCTGTTGTGATTCATTCTAGTTAAATTTGTGAGTCAGGCAAAATCTACCTGGCTGTCTCCCACTTTCCCTAAATCTTCCTTCTACTAGCTCCTAGGATCTCCCTGGCATCCTGGTCTATCATTAATAAACTGGTTTGCCTTGCCCTGAACCCTTCCCACTGG